GGAAGTGAATGCTCTTTTGAACATCCAAAGTAATGCCAGTCCCTTGCGTCTCGGGTTTTGAGGTCATCCTGAATTCATTTTTTCCAAATTATCTCTATGCCCTTTTGCACAACAAAAGCGATCTGTAACAATGTTTGCATATTTAAAAAAAACTTATGCATTCCTGTACCGTTTCGATGGAGTTTTTAAGGGCTTCTTTCATTTACTCCAAATATACTTACTGATACTGACTGATAACTCCCAAGTCATGAGTACTCCTATGATAAGCATTTGGAAGCTGTATATTGTCAACCTCAACCGCAGACTTCAGAATTTTGCCCGTTCCACACCTCATGGGATGTTCCCTACTAAAATTTAGGAGCACTGGGATCTTGGAGAATATTCGTTTGAATTGTCGCCTAATTTAAGCGCGAGAGTCTAAAATCCGGCTATCGAGCCGTTTGTCCGCCTAATTTGGGTGATTGCTCCCTATTTGGCTTTATCCAGTATGTCAAGCACCCCTGCATCAGCCAGTTCCGGCGGCCAACAAGTTTCAACTTCCGGTGGAAAGGGAAGAAACAAGGAAATATATAAATATGACGCTCCTTGGAATATTTATGCTTTAAACTGGTCTTTGAGGCCCGACAAACGTTTTCGTTTGGCCATTGGGAGTCTTATTGAGGAATACAACAATAAGATACAAGTTATAACACTAGACGAAGCGCAGGGAAAGTTTGTAGCTCAGACACCTTTTGCCCACCATTATCCGGCCACCAAGATTATGTGGATACCTGACATGAAGGGTACTTGCCCCGACCTCCTGGCCACTAGCGGTGATTATTTGCGTATATGGAAGGTCGGAGATAATGATGTCAAAATGGAGTGCATGCTTAACAATAATCAAAATTCCGATTTTTGTGCCCCTCTGACTTCATTCGATTGGAATGAAGTTGATCCTAACCTAATTGGTGCGTCGAGTATTGATACAACATGCACTATTTGGGGCCTCGAGGTATTTGCTGACTATCGTTTAAGGTCATTTTTAGACGCAACAAGTTATTGGTCGAGCAAACACTAAGAATGTCAGTGGGCATGTAAAGACGCAGCTTATAGCGCACGACAAGGAAGTCTATGATATAGCATTTAGCCGGGCTAGTGGCAATCGGGATATCTTCGCCA